GATCTTGAATGAATTAGTAAATTCTTCTGGGTTACCGTTTTCCCAACCAGAAAATGGATAAATCACCCTCTGTTTACGAAGTACCCCGGTAAGACAACTGGAAAGACAATCAAAAGTTTATCGAGTCAGATCTTTCAACCAGAATAAAAATTAAACCATGACACTTTGGATAAAACTCAATATTTTGTTAGTCAAATTCCATCGAAATTATACTTAGGTACATTAACTTAATTTAAGAACTAGTGGCAAATTATATTACTATTTGATACATTACTGCTCTGCATAATTATTTAATCAGAGCTCCCCTGAAACAAATTAATGCTGATGCAACCTAATTTTTTCATTCTGAAATAGTTCAAGAATACAGAAAATTATCGAGAATAATATAATGAACACCCATACACCTAGCATCCAGCTTTTTTGAAGATTCACATTCTGCCATGTTTTCTTCACACATTTTCTTAAGAAACAACACATTAGAGATCCAGCTGAAGCTCCCTGTGTATCCATGTCTCGTTCCCTTCCTTTCCCTCTTTTCCCAGGGGTAAGAACCTAAAACCGATGTGATTCGTGCCACATGTCGCATACCCTCAGCCCACCTCTGGTTTCAGCCTTCAGCCACACTGGCAGTATCCTATCTTCAGGGCCCACCTCAAGTCTCTGCTTCTTTACTCCAAGGCTTTCCTCAAAACCCTGAGGAGTGTGCCTAACCTTCCAGTTACATCACAAAAGTATGTGGGAATTAGCACCTTCAGAAGAAAACTCAACACATGGGAACAGAGCCTTGTAGAAACGCCCTTAGGATGGACAATTCCCACAGGTCCCAGTGGAGTTGAGCCCTTTTCCTTAAAGCAGTGACCTAAATAACAACCCCTTTCCTGGCCTTTCCCCTTGTCTTGTCTTGCTGTCCCTGCTCCTTCACTCCTATTCCCTGGGATCACCCCTCAATAAATGTCCTGCACACAAGTTCTGGTCTCAGGCTCCCTGGAGGAGAACCCAGTCTAAGACATGGCTCTCCTGCAATTGCATACTGCTTATAGGCAGGGGCGGTCCCATCGCTCATGTGCTTGCACGCAGCCAGAGACAATGTGTAGTATTCTTTTGCATGTTTTTAAAGGTTATATAAATGGTGTCATACTATACTTGCTTTTTGCGTTTGTGACTTATTTACTTATTTCATAGCTTTCCACACGTGGAAAAATAACCAGGCACAAAACACATTTGGCTTCCAAATGTGAATAATTGTATTCCTATCCAATTGACTATACTCTAGGTTAAGTCTTTCTCAATTCATATCACATTAACATCTAAAGGTACTTTTGAACTTGAAAAATCTCAGTACAGAGTAAATTTTCCAATTAGATGCAAATGTTTGTATACACAGAAGACCGAGAGTCATACTTTAGCAAAAGTATTAATTTCCTGGGGTAAAGAATTACCTTATTTCACTGAATTGGGTGTTCGCCATCATTATCACATCTTAATAAGTTCTTGAGTTACTGCAGCTCTTTCTCTTCATGATGCGATTTTACACGTAGTGTCTCAATTGCCTCTCAGCTCTGTGAAAGTCTGATTTATCTGTTTCCCCCACATACCTAGCTCAGTGTCTTGCACATAGTGGGCATTCAATAAATATTTATTGAATGAATGAATGACTCACCATTTCATTCATGAGAATACTGAGGCCCCGAAAGATAAAAAAAAAAAACATTGAGAACACATAGCTAATGAGTGGCAGACCTGGAAGTAGAACCCAGGTCTAGGAGCCAAAATTTGATTCAGTGCATTTTGAAATCTGTATAATAACGTCACATTATCTTCCAGAATTAGTGGTTACAGTAGTACCACTCCAGTGCTTTCTTTTGTTCAAGGATCAGTTTATCAAAGCAGCAGGCTAGGATATTTTCCCTTAACATGGAGGACTGGCAGAATCCAGAATATAACCCAGTCTCCGTGGGAAAGAAACTGTTATCTCTTTTTCTTTTTCTTTTCCACTCTCTTTTAATATTGAGATATAACTTACACGCAATAAAATTGAAAGATCACAGTTACATGAAATTTTATATTTACTCGCCACCAGATTAAGATACAACATTTCCAGCTATTCCCAAATTGTCTTCATGGCCCATCTCAGTCAATTACACCCTCCATCCTGCCAAACATGATTGCTGTTCATACTTCTCTCACCATAGATTACTTTTTGCCTGTTTCGGGACTTTGTTTAAATGCAGTCATGCAGTATGTATTTTTTTTGACATCTAACTTCTTTCACTCACTATTACGTCTATGAGACACCTCAATGTTGCATGTATCAGTAGTCACTCCTTTTTCATTGCTGTGTGGTATTTCACTGTATGAATATACAACAATTTTCTTACCCATTCAACTATTGATATATTATAGGTTGTTTCCAGTTTGGAGCTATTATGAATAAAGCTGCCATGAACATTCTTAATCATGTCTTTTGGAGGATACAAAACCCCATTTCTCTTGGGTACATGCCCAGAAGTGGTTTGCTAGTCATAGGATTGGCATATATTTTGCTTCAATAGACATACTTTGGAGAAAGTGCAAAAGGTTTCCCTCATCTGGAAAGGCTAGCAGGGAGCAGAGCTCCTGTTACTAAATGTCTCCTCATTAAAAACCATAGAGTCTTTCACTGGAAGAAACCTGAAAGAGGCAATGATCTGGCCTCTCCCATGATATCTGAGTCTTTCCCTCACTCCAGTCACAGCTGACCTGAGCTGGGCCAGAAGTCACTACCTCTGAAGGACTTGGACAGTCCTGCTTCCTTGTGGCTTCCACCTACTCATCCCTTTAAATCCCCTATGCCTCAGGTAGAACCATACATACTCATTTGGCTTGGGTCTCATTCCCCCAATCCTTCTTTTGGCACTGAACAGTAGACCAGAGTTGGCTCAGATAGGAGCGAAATCTGTTTCCAGTTGAAAATGGATTAAGGTTCACCACAATTTCCATCAGTATTGATGGCGATGATGAGCACACTAAGCAGAGGTGTTGCACGATGACAGGCTAGAAAAGTCAAAGGGTTCAGTCAACTATTGATCATCTCACTGTGGGTGTCACATGTCATGGACTCTCAGAGCCTGAAAGGCCCTTGGAGATCATCCAACTCAACATTTATTCAATGCCAAACCCCCAAAGTATTTCCAAACCTCTGTTTAAGCATGTTCAAGGCAGAGAACTTAGCTCATTCTGAAGCAACCCATCCCATACTCACACGGATACACTTCCTAGAAAGTTCTTCTACCTTTTAGCTTGAAACTGCCTTCTTTTGATTTCACCTATTGGTCCTTGTTTTGTACTTTGAGATTCTTGAAATGAGCTTTTTTTTCATTCAGCCATTCTGCAAATATTATAGCAGCCCTTTCAATACTGGCGAAAGCTGTCCTCATTTGGTAGGTGAGTTTAAGAAGGATGGAACCAGCGGCTAGGGGCTTAGGATGAGGGAAACGCTGTCTCATGTCATAGCTTTTATAATTTGTTATTCTTTACTAGTAACTTTTCTATTTTTAATTTTGCTGTGGCTTCACTGATCATCAAAGAGGAAACATGCAGACTTCTATTATGTACCAAGGCCATGGTGATATCTCCCTTATCATAACTCAGTGCCCTTGTACTCTGGCAGTTGACCAGAGCAGGATTTGGCCTATCTACTGAGCCCTCTGGGCCAATCTGGTTGGCAGTCTGGTACGTGGTAATGTAGACTCAGTATGGTCTTTGTAGTCAAATTAATACGTCAAAAATCAGTATGCTGGTTTACCCATCTCTTTGCATCTCAGTTTCCTTTACTGCAAAATCTGGCTTTTAATACCCACTTCAAAAGAACATTTTAAGAATTAGATATGCTCATTTATATAAAGTACTTGGCACCATGCAAAGCACACAAAAGATGCTCCATAACGTTCTCTTCCCTAACCTTGCTCCCATTGCTGCTTTTGAAATCATGAATATCCAGTCATGAAAAGGAACTGCAATATGGTACCATGGAAAGACCTACGAAATTGTCTTCCATTCTAAGCCCAGGCTGCTAATTTTAGTGCTGTGAGCCTTAAACTAGTGATGACCCTTGAGAAAGTCACTTAACTTCTCTGAACCTTAGATATTGAATAAATTGAATTAGGTGCTTCCTAGTCTTAGAGGTACCTTTAAAAAACTTGTACCCAGGATACCATCTTTCTGAACACCACCAACGAAGCTGTTCAAAGGACACTAGAATTTTCCCCAAGGGTTTCATCTCCAAAGTCAACTCCACAAGAGGCAATTTTTTGCCCAGATTATCTGTTTATCTAAATACCTCCATATACTCCTAGTGGGTTTTGACACATCTTATATAATACAACATTTTACATCTTAAGAATATCCATGATATGGAGCCTTCTGAAATTCTCAGAGAGGGTCCATGGGAATTCAGCAACCTTTAGTACTTATCAACCCAATTCATCTATGGGAGGAGGGGTTTTCAAATGCATACACACCTGATAACAGAGGTCAAGAGCTGAGCAGGATGGGGCTGGACTGCGAGGGCAGCTTAAGGTCATGCAACCATACGTGACATTGCTGACACAGTGGCCCTGCCAACTGTCTCTCTGTCTCCCTGACCCCTGGCATGCAGCTGGTAACTTGACAGCTGGGAATGTGTGCCCTGGGCACTGTTGGGGTGATAATCACTCAGCCCTTGGAGACCCTAGGACAGCTCATTGTACCCCTCACTGAAAAAACTCTAGCCAAATACAATAGCCTTGATGGTAAGTCTTACAGCTTGGCATGAATGCCAGCCCAGCCCATCATCCATTTATTTGAAATCAGCGAACATTTACTGAGGGTCCTCTCTGCTTCATCTGTTAGAGGGGAACTGGAAAAATAAATCAGATTGCCTATAGAGCCTCAAGTCTGCATTTCTACCCTGGGCCTCGCCAGGAAAATGTCTTTTCAAGAACGTGTGCCCCCATTTCCAACCTCTCCCAACTGGGCCCAACCTGATGTGTTGAATTGTTCAACTCTTTAGAGAGTAGAAATCCAGTTTCCTCCTCTGCATAATTCTGATCTTTTTTTCAGGTGCAATTTTTCTCCTAGAACAGGACAGAAATACAAAGTAAACCTTCTGGAATGCGCTAACATGCCACAGCTTCCCTTCCCACAAGATCTTGCTAGTCCTGGGCCAGATCTACATATGAGGTCCTTGATCAGGGCAACTCATTCACGGGGAGGACATGCACACATCGCTAATCTAGGCATTTTCTAAGAAAGACAATAAGAATGAAACTAAACCAAATCATTCATCTGCCAGAGCTAAGAATGAAGGAAGAGGCTACAGGGAGGGGAGGGGAGAGAGGGGAGGAGGCAGTACAAGAGATCTAAGGTGGCATCCTGGCATCCTACCAAGAAGAGGAGCAGAATCAGAGGGTCCTGTTGCAGACTCTATAATCTCACTGATTTGAGATTGAGGTTAAGCAAGGCTGACAAAGTGGTTTATCAAATCAGAGGCGAACCCCACATCTATTGGATCTCATTAATTCCCAGACCGCTTTATTGTGAATCCCAATCAGTTCAGCCCACCACGTGGCACTTTCGTCTCTCCACACTTGCTTCTGCCATCCATCTATTGGTGGCCTGACTCTGTTCCCCGAAATAATTTCACTGTTCCTGTCACGCGGGATACTGGCTGGCTGCTAGGAATCCTAAAAGCTCTGTAGGTGGTGAGCGGGACAGCAACTGGCGACTCACATTTACCAAAGGCCTTTCTATTTTTAATTTTTTGAAAATATTCCACGCTAAAGTTTCCTTTCTCTCCCTCCCACCCTTTGTGGTATTTTTAGGCCATGCAGGCTTTTCAGAACGAGCATCTAGCTTGCTGGGAGCTGCAATAGCTTTTCCCCTTACCTGCCAGTCACGGTGTAGTACAGGCATGTGTCATGTGGAGAGCCGGTCCTTTTACTCCAGTCTTTTACACGGGCAGCGCTTCTGTGTGCTGCTAATCTGTCAAGAAATCAAAGACACATCAGCCTCAAAGGGGAGGCCCTGGCCCCACAGCTGCCTGCCAGGGTTATTATGAAGGCCCATCCATCCTGTACCAAGAGCTCGCTGGGAGCAACTGGCAGCAGACAGGGGAAAGCCAGAGATCAGGGATCTGAGCAGGGAAAGGCGATTTGGGTGAGAGGAGGGTGGGAAGGGGCACAAGGGATCAGGACTTGAAAGATGAAAGCACCCTGGGGATGCTGCAGTCAGGACTGCTTTCGGGCAAGGACAGACATGAGAATTATCTGAGATGCTTGTGGGGGAGACCAAAGGTCCACCCAGCCCAGGGTCTCCTCTGTCAGGGGTAGCTCAGGAGCTTCTATGGGAAAGAGAGAGGGGTGGAGCAAGCTTGTGAGCTGTCCTCCTTTCTATCACCCTCCCCATCGCTCCTGCAGGTCCAGAGAGAGGCCTTGCAGCTGCCTGGCCCTCCCTCAAAAACTACTGGAAAAGAGTAACCGACAGAATCTATTGGGGCGGTAGTTCTCGAAGTGTTACCCCAGACAGCGGGCAGCAGCAGCCCCTGGGAACTTGTCAGAAATGCAGATTCTTAGGCCTCACCCCAGACCCGCTGAGTCAGAAAGTCTGGGATCTGGGCCCAGTGTTCTGTGTTTTAGCCAGCCCTCCCAGGGATTCTGACGCACATTCCAGTTTGATGACCACTGTATTAGGAAAAACAAGGCAGGGATAGCCACTGAGGAGTCAACTGAAGGAGAATTTTTTAAGTGTGTAAGAGAATGGGATAGAAACGTTGGGATTCATAGTCACTTCTCATATGACGTCTGAAATGAAATGAAAATGAATGAAATGAATGCTATCAGTATCTAAAAAAGCAAAATGGCCATAGCCTAGAGAAGAAAGAAGGATAACTTTTTAAAACCAATGTTATAATGTTAACAAGACCCTATCTGATGTTTCATTTGGGGAGGGGGGTGGATTTTCAGTTGAAAAACTGTTTGTAGTCTGTTTGGACTGGTGCGTGGTGTTTTGATTATGAAGAGAACATCCCCAAAGACCCTGCCTGCTGAAAATTGCTGAGTCCCTTCAAAGCTTGTGCTTGAAAAGTCACATAAATATGTTATAGTGATTGCTAGTGTTTCTAAAAGGACAACTTTTAAATTAAAATTCTTGGCTGTTCAATATCGTAGAATAAGGCTCACAGCCTTCCTTCTTATTTACTGAGAAAATTGCAGTCCTCAGAAGTGAAATCCCACACGCGCCTCCCACCGGCTAGCCCCACCTCCTGCATCTCTACACCCTGCCACTCCACATCCCCTTGGGCAGGACCTTCCCTCACTGCCGTAAGGCCAGCTCCTCCTTGTGCCCTGGAATCCCATGGCTCTCACCTCTTCAAAGATGCTTCTCCTGCAATCATCGATTGCCCCTCCTGACTGGGAAGTCCCATCTGCATGTAAACCTTCTGAACTGTGGCCCGCCTTATCAGTCTCCCTTGACCCCATCACTACCACCAGCTGCCACTCCATTTCCCTCCTCCGTTTTATAGTTAAACTAATGTGAAATAAGTCTAAGCTTGCTGTCCCCACTTTCTTTTCTCCTGTTCTTTCCAGATCCCTTTCCAATCAGGCTTCCAGCCTCACCTACTCCACTGAAATTACCCTCCCCCAGCTACCAATGACTTCCATGTTGTCAAACCCAGGGGCCCGTGCTCCATCTCCCCGGCTCGGCCTCTCAGCAGCCTTTGACATAGTTCTCACCTCATTGGCCACTCCTTCTCTGTCTCTTCCCTGAATCCACTTCACTTCTCCCTGTCCTCAACTTTGGACTTTCCCAGACCACTCTGAGTCCCTCGCCCACTCTCGCTGTACATACTTTCCTGGTGAGCTCATCCAGTCCCACAGCTTTAAATATCATCCACCAGGAAATCCAGAACTATCCAGAATCAACCATTTCTCTCCACCTCCACTGCTACCGCCCTGGTCCAAGCCCCCATCAACTCTCACTTAGATTATTGCAGTAGCTTCCACCTTTGTCCTACTGGTCTATTCTCTTTTAAATTGGTCCTTTTAAAAGGCAAGTTAGATCATGTTGCTTTTCCACTCAAAACCTCCTCAAGTTGTCCCATCTCACAAACAATAAAATACAAATCTATACCCAGACGTGCAATGCCCTGCATGACTCTGCCTTGGTTTCCTCCAGGACCTCATCTCCTACCGATTTCCCTGTCACGATTGGGCTCCAGCTGCTCTGGCCTCATTGATGGTCCTTAAACCTGCTGAGCTGCTCCCACCTCAGGACCTTTGCACTTGCCATTTTCTCTGCCTAGAATGCTCTTCCTCTATCTCTACATTTCTTCCTTCCTGACTTCACTCACAGGTCTGCTCAAATGCCACCTTCCCAGAGAGGTTTTTCCAAACCCCTCTATCTGAAGTCATCTATACATCCCCACTCCATCCAACCCCATCATCTATCGTTTTACGCTGCATTATTGTTTTTCATAGCACTTATCACTACCTGGCATGTTAGATATTTACCTGCTTATTTATTGTCTACCTCCCTCATGTAGAATATAAGCTCCATGTTCTCCAGTATCTAGAATAGTGCCTGGCACACAGTAGGCTGCCAGTAATATTTTTTTGATTAAATTAATGAATAAATGAACAAAAATAATATTGTCTGCCCCACAGAAGAAGAAAGTGAGGGCAGAGTCTTCTCTGTCCTAGAAACTTGACACTTAACAGGGCACTTATCAGTTCCCTGGAAAATTCTACACCTTCTCCCCTGGTTCAGTGTAGAATTAATTCTTACAATTTATGATGATCCTCATCTTTTCGATCACATCAGAGTTTCTTGTTGAACTTTAAAAAAATATGAATGTCTGTCTCTACCCTAAGGAGCTCCTGATTAGGGAGGTCAGTATTAAGACTCTGAAAAGTAGACTCTTAAGAGTGGAGTGGAGTGGTTAGGAGCATGGACTCTGAAGGCGTGCCCTCCATTTTGAATCTTGACCCCACCATTGCTGTGGGACCTCGGGCAGGTGACTGCACCTCTCTCAGCCTCAGTTTTCTAATTTGCAAAGTAGTTATAATAATTGTACTCCTATTTCATGGGATTGTTGTGATAATTAATGAATTTATTTTATATATTCATTATATAAATTCATTATATATATTCATTATATAAATTTGTGTGTGTGTGTGTGTGTATATATATATATAAACTCCTTAGAACAATGCCCGGATGTAATAAGCATGAACTATTATTATCTATATTATATATGTTTCTTGGTTGATTCTGGTGTATAACCAGGTTTGGAAATTGCTGATGTGGCCTGTAGACATCACTAAATGAGAGCAAAAGGAGATCTCCATGATGGGTAGGGCATGCCTGAGGTTGAGGAGACATGAGACGGCACACACTCAGCTGGTTTCGCAAGAGTGATAGGACTGAGGAGATCATGGGACAGGCACAGTGCTCTCTGACGGGCACTCGTGAACTCTGCACTGGCCTAGAGGATTCAGCCCCTTCTGAGTTATACGCTACGGGGTTATTCTTACTCAGCTAACCAGTTCAAGGGCAGGTGAATTGTCTTCTCCAGCCAAAGCTGGTGATAGAAAGATCCACGTGCTGTCCTCGGGGCTGCTAGGGCCTAGAGAATATCAGGGGTGCTAGCCAGGCCCAGCTTGGTTGGGGGCACAGTAGGCAGCAATAGCCCATCCTCCAAGATTCCAGGAGCCCCCATGCTCCTCACAAAAACCTTCCCAACCTGCTCCCTAATGTCAGAAATCCCATTAGTAGGGGACACACTTTTCTTGCCACAGCAAAAGATGCTTAAAACACAAATGCCTCTAGAAGCAGCACAGATGTAAGTTGATGACAACACTTTTGACCAGAAAAGCTGTCATTCTGCAAAGGAGGTTTTGATAGGGACACTAGCATGCTCTCTGCCCCATTCCACCCAAACTCTCCTATTTTCCGCTCCTATTGAGATCACAGTAGCTGGGAGACTTAATTCACCTGAAGAGGTCCAATGTAAATGGCATGGTAGTGATTTACATTTTTCTAAGTCATTTCTTTTGTGGGGCATGGTTTCATTTAGCTCAAGCAAAACTGGCAGGGCTGGCCCAGCCTTTCATTCTACCAGTGAGCCAAACCAAGATTTTACCTGCTGACGGCCAGTGTAAGGTATGTATATCATTCATTGGTTCCATCAACAATTATTTACTGGGCCCCCGCCAAGAACTGGGATGTGATAAGAATAACATCCTGACAGAAGTTCAGGAACTGACCCCTCTCTATGTATATCGTTTTGGAAGGTCACCCTTTGCTTTACTCAAACTATTTTCCAAGCTCATCTTTTGAAGACTGCCTCCCAGACCCAGATTTAGGCTCATGAAGGAAAATCTGTTATATTTTCTCTAAAGTTGGTGGAAATGTTACCACTTCTCCCCACTTCTGATACCCCTCCATCCCTGCATCCTTTCTCCCCCACATCTCTCCCTCCCAGCTCCTTCTCTGAATGCCTGCAGTTCCTGGAGGGCCCTCAGGAGTCTGGCCTGTCTCTCCAGGACTAAGACAGCTCCCTGCCCATTGGCCTGGCTGTCAGCATCCAGGTTTCTTCTTTATCTCCTTTTGGGTCTCCCTGTGGTCTCTACCCTTGCAGATTCACTGTGTGAGAACTGTAGCCACTACCTGGGAAGGGCTGGTCTAAAGGGGTTGACCTCCCAGCCCTCACTAGTTACTTTCTCTTAGGAGATAGTAACAGACTTTTCCAGAACAATCCTTTTGTGAGGCAAGTCTCTCCATTAGATCCAGCCAGATAACATTCCCAAACACTGCTTTTGTATCCATCTCTCCCCAGTTTTCCCTGATTGGCTTTCCCTCAAACCTGCAGAAGGGGCGAAGAGGACAACCAAGCCACAGCCCACAGCTGATCACACTTGAGCAGCTCAAGTGTCCCTGACATTATCTGTGACCTGGAAGCAGTGCAGCCATCTTGGCTGCACT